AGATCTGTGTGCCTCAGGAAGAAAAGCCTTTCCTGCAGCCAGAGCTCTCTTGGGATTGGGATGGTGAAGAAAGTCAGCCCCAGGTTCCCTCCCTTCCAGCTCCACGGCCTCTCTTCCAGTGGGCCAGGATTGAGGTAGGGTGAGGCGTAGTGCAGGTATAATCTTCGGCCCTGCCCTGTCTTTGAAAAACAGAGGAGCCGGGCAAAGGGTGTGCAAGGTCCAGAACCCGCTGGTAGTATCAAGCCCACTTTAGGGCCCCACGTACCCAGAGGGCGAGGGCCAAAAACCAGAATGCTTGAGGGAGGGACATCAGCTCCTGGGCTCACTGCACCAAAGGACCCTTCCTGGGCTGTGAGGCCCTCGGCAGGGCTCCAGGCCTAGGCAGAGGTCCTGCGGGCCAGTGAATTCAGCCCCTGGCGTGCCTGCCATCCGGAGGGCTCTGTCGAGCTCCACCGGCCCCGACTCCCAGATCTGCCTCCACCAGAAGTCTGGGGAGGAGCGGTGGGCAGAGATGCCAGTCTCCAACGTGGCCCCCAGTGACCTCCTGCCCCTCGGTTTTCATTCTGTGTAGTTTCTTCTCAGGTCGAATCAGAGCTAGGCCACACCTCACCATATGCTGGAGGCTACATGTGAGTTCTGTGGCCACAGGTCCAACTCATTTTGGCCTTGACCTGGGCCCTGTCTCCCTTCCTCTGGGAGAAGTCTGGCACCTTACTGCGAGGACGGTCAAGCAGCCCTGTGGGGAGACCCACGTGGCAAGGAACAGGCATTTCATCACCAGCCATGTGACTAACCACCTTGGGAAGGGACTAACCACCTTGGGGAGGGACTCTCCCAGCGAGGTGGAGACGGCAGTAGCCTTACGGGGGACTCTGAGCTAGCACTGCTCAGTCCCACCGTGCTGACTCCGGACCCACAGAGACCCGGCTGTCAATACACACCACTGTAAGCCACTAAATTCGGGGACAACTCGGGGATCCCCTACCCCAGGGCCAGTGCTGGTCCGTGGCCCCTTGGGGGCTGGGGTGCAGCCACACAGCACGGGGTGGGCAGCAGATGAGCGAGCGGACTTCACCTGTGCCTGCAGCCATGCCACATCGCTCTCCTGGCCGCATGGGCCCCGCCTCCTGTCGGACAGGCGGTGGGATCAGGCTCTCGGGACAGTGGGCCCCACAGTGTGACTATTCATCCGACACTGCAGTGTGGTGGTGGGATGGAGCGCACAGGGACGCGGTGTGCTTGGTCACTCCGGGAGCAGCTTCCCCCCAGCCCCGTCTGTGGAGGGAGCGTCTTCCACGAGTTTGGTCCCTGGTGCTGGGAAGATGGGAACTGCCCCTCTCACTCTGGGGCAGTTCTCAGAGATCCTGGGGGTTGTTCTCGCCCCCCACCAGCTCGTGTGTAGGAAGGTACAGCCCTAGATGGACCAGTGTAAAATCAGACAGCATCAGCCGTCACGTTTTTCATTTTCATTTTAATTAACACTTTACAAAGTACAAAATATACTGTCTTTTGGGGGAAACATTAGGTACTTTTTTCTCTCCATCATACAGTACATGAATCTCGAGGGTTTTGTGTTTCTTCAACAAAGAAAATAAGTGTGAGGGCCCCGGGGTAGGGGTAAGACCCAGTTCTCCCCTTTGCCCAGGCCTGGGGACTGACGAAGCGCCACTGCTGCTGCTGGTGACCTGGGCACGGCATGCCAGGTGAGGGCAAGGGGCCGTGGGCAGAAGTCTCCTGCCCCTCCCCAAGATGAGGCTCCGGGCAGGGCACGGGCCCCCCAGAGCCCTGCTGTGCACCCACCACCCACCCCCCATCTTAGGATAACGGAAATGAGTTTGGCATAGAGCAAGAGGAGGGCTGAGCCGCGCTGTTTAGCGCCTGCTGTTCTGGGGCAATCCCGCTCAACTCTTCTGGAGCATTTTCTGAACATGGGTAAACGGAGGCAGTGGGAAGGAAAGTACACTGGGCTGGGCTTGTCTCGTCTCGGGGCCTGAATTTGACCTGCTCTCCATTCCCTCCCAGGGCTTCAGCTTCGCTGGACGCTTTTCCAGGATGGGACCAGCAGGTGCCCCTCCACCCCTCCCTGTGAATACTGTCTTCAGGTGGCCACACAGCCGCCAGGCCTCTGACGAGCAGCACCCTCCCGGG